ATGACAGATTGAAATTCAACATGGTCAGTGGTTAGAAAAAATAAATATGATGTAATCACAATCCTTGAATACTGCAAGTCAACAAGTCGGTCCCATGGCACGATAAGATCGACAGAGGGCGGTCGTATATTTGACTACATTTTAGATATTGAGATTGGAATTGGGGCCGTTTCGTTAACAAATGCTAAATTTCTATGACAAATTTGCTCTAAGCCAATCAGATGCCATTGTTTCAGTAGCTTATAACAGTAGCTTGTAACTTGTTATTGATCAATTTTTATGAAACAGGGTCCTGACCCTTCTGATTGATTTCTCAGCCCCAAAAAGCTTCGAGTGATTATCACTAGTGACTAAATCTAGTGTATTTAAATAAATGTATTCTTGTTGAAAACAAAGATTTGGTTAGGTCGCAATATGATTTGGTCTTGGGATAAAACAAAACCAAAGAAAATGGTACGATTTATCGAAAATCGTGGTATTGGTATCTTATCTTAGTTTAAATAGTTCTTACAATTACATGTACAATGTATATCAATTTTCTTGTTTGACTATAGAGGTGTTTCATGAAAAGGAAAGCCGCCTTAGTGGATATCATTCTATGATCTGCGTGAGGAAATTCTCCAAAGCTCTCAGAAGATGGAGGAGCAACCTGATGAGATACAGCCAGCTCTAGTCTTCATAGCCCCAACAAAAGACCATCCACAACATGTGAGACAAAGGGAATCGTATAATAGTATCACTGTCTTTAATAGTATTATAATATTGTAGTGTGAATTTGTAATAGCTGAGTCGATATGAAACTAATAGTACAAGTGGAGTATTTTTTAATAATTATTATTCAACCGTTTGGGATAATATTCCAGATTATCAACTGAAAATTCTAGCGGGAGAAAGATAAAAGAAAAGATAACGGGGTGTGTAAGCATGAATGAACGGGGAATGAGGAGAGAGGGGGAGGGAGGGTTAACGAGAGTGTGTGTGAAAGAGAGAGAGAGAGAGAGAGAGAGAGAGAAAAGAGAGAGAGAGAGAGAGAGAGAGAGAGGGATGAGATAATGAGAGAGAGATATATATATATATAGAGAGAGAGAGAGAGAGAAAGAGAGAGAGAGAGAGAGCGAGATATATAAAATATAGAAAAAGAGAGAGAGAGAGACATAATTGGTGATTGAGAGATACGGACAATATTAGAGGCATAGACAGAGAGAGGGATACAAACAAATAAGATATACATTAATACTCTCCCTTCTGTATAAGGCAATTTATGTACATGGATTTTTTTTTTTCATTTAAAAATTACATCATTAAAGAGAAGGTCGAGTTCTGGGAAGAGGTGTAAAATAATTTGTGAGCGTTATCATTCTTATTATGCAAGTGTGGAAGAACATCAGATAAGACATGTTCCCTGAAAAGCATGGCTCTTCAAATGCCTTTATATTCTAAATATGTCATGTAACTCGTAAAACTCGGGGGGGGGGGGGGTAGGCTTTTTACGCCACGTGTTCATGTATAGTCCCATATACATCTTTCTGTGTACAGTGTTTGTAACTTTACCAAGACTTGGTCAAATTTCTTATCATTTTGATGATTCCAGAACCTTGCAATACACACAAATTCTTATATGCTATATGATCAACCTTTTCTGGTCGATTTCATACCGTTTCTTTCACAATGCAATCGCATGACCAGAACTCAACTTCATCTTTAAAGGGATCGTTTAACAATGTTAAATCTGAGATACCCGGCCCTACGTGTTATCAGTGTATGTGATATGGTGTAATATTGAAGCCCGAAAAAAATTGCGCTTCAAAACGATCAAGAAGTGCCTCAAAAAAGTAAAAATCTTTGAGTGACCGGTTTTACCATACTCGTTTTCCCCAATAGACTGTAGTGTTATGAAAACCGTCAGGCGAACGGTTTTCAAAATTTGTAATTTTAATCATAAATATCTTGATAATCAGACAGGCGATCGGCTTGTAAAAGTCATGGGGTTCCTGGCTGACCTAAAGGTTTGTAATAATCATTGCATCATGAGCTAAATCCAGAATTTTATTTCAGAATCTGAGACAAAGTTACCGGATCCCTTTAATACCGTTAACGGATATCTTATACAAAATAAAACTTTTGACGATCCTCTAAAAGTAAATCTCTTCGGAATCAATCAAAGTTTGTAGTTTCTCTCTAAATCAGGTAAAAATCGTCACCATACGCAATACCACTCCCAAAGAGGAGAACAACGATAACGAGGGACCACGTGATTACTTTTACTTGGCACTTTTTGTCTGCTTGTGTTGTTGTTGGCCTATTGGGATTTGCGCCCTCTCGAAGTCTCTCGAGGTAAGTTGATCATTGAACTACAATGAGGTTCTCCTGCTTATCCCCCACTCGAATTTAAAATAACAGTGCGAAGTGTGTGTGTGTGTGTGTGTGTGTGTGTGTGTGCGTGTGCGTGTGTGTGTGTGTGTGTGTGTGTGTTTGGTTTGTACAGACGTGTATCAATCAGATATGATTATTTAAATGTCACCATCCGAAAGACGTGACTCAGTTTCGAACCTACGTCCTGGCCTGAATCAGTGTGTAACTTCGACTGTTAGCTGGATTAGAGGCGCACGCCACAACGCCTAGAATATTAGTATTTTCAAAATTATTGGGGGAAGAGGGTGCTCCACATCCTTACATATGTGTACGTGACGTTGAGGAGGGGGCTGCTGCCCTACCACCTCCCTCACTACGTCGGGGTTCGTGAGGGAACCAACGTGCTGGTGGTACATGTTGTGTTAGGGACATTTCTTTAGGGCCAATTAATTGCAATGGGGGGGGGGGGGGGGTTAGAGGTACTGGAGGGGTAAAACAAAAAACAAAACCCAATCTGCGACGGAGGCTTCAGATGTATTGAATGAAATGAACACAAAGTTGGCTGAACAAATAAATCACGAAATTATGTCTTATTATGAGAGGGTAATTTTGCATGCATTGATTGTCCAGGCTAATAGCCTTTTTCCAGTTTAATATTCTATGTGGTAGTTGTTCGAGAAATGGTAGTTATGAATTCAATTATTGTAAATGGTTCAGGAGTGTGCAGATAGCAATTATTTCTGGAATTATATTTTTGTGACAACATTCAAATGATTTTATAATAATTCTTATGACTACAATAGACGTCAGTTATTTTTTTTTTTAAATATTCACTTCAACAAAAGTTACAACCTGATGATAATGTACGCGTAAGTATTATGTTTTCATGTTTAAGATAAAATAGTCTGATTGAATAAGATCCCTTTTTTCTTTTACTATGATTTCTTTTTTCATGTTTGTAAGGTGAGAAGGTACATGACCCGAGGACAGATATCGAAAGCGACCCTCGCCTCCCATGATGCTCGGAATTATACAGCCGTCGCACTGGGGATCGGTGTCGGCATCATCCTCACGTTCGTTTGTATGTTCATCGTCGTATGTGTTGCCTTCCTTACCATTTAGCAACTTTAAAGACCATCAATACTACTGGGCCAGAAGGGATTAGACCACACAGCGAGGTCACTGACAGGTGGCTTTCTCATTAAATCAGCTCTTAACTAACATAAGAAAAAGAGGATCATGGGGGACCAACAGGCACCGATTGGGGGAGTTTTCTATATAGAGGGAGCAAGTAGCTACAAGTAGGACAATGGGGCTTTAATACCTTCTTAAATCACTGTTATTTGAACGTAAATGCCAGGAGCATGAAGAGGTACCGGGTTCTAGTGGTTACGTCACCGGTCTGGGGATCACATGGTTCGCGGTCCGAGTCCCGCCACGGCACTGACACATTAAAAAAAATCTGCATGTCACCCGCAACCAAGTGTAGTAAATGGGTACCTGGGAAGAATTCATTCCTTAAAGGGATCGTTTAACAATGTTAAATCTGATATACACGGCCCTACGTATTATCAGTGGCTGTGATATGGTGTAATATTGAAATGCCTCAAAAAAGTAAAAATCTTTTAGTGACCGGTTTTACCATACTCGTTTTCCCATATAGACTGTTATGTTATGAAAAACGTTAGGCAAACGAAAAATTTGTTTTCGATTTCCAATCATAAATATCTTGATAATCAGACAGGTGATCGGGTTTTCATAGGGTTCCTGACTTTGCAGCATGAGCTAAATCAAGAATTTTGTTTCAGAATCTGAAACTACTTCTACTTTGTAGACGCCTTGAGCATGCAATTTGCTACGGATATATGGGCGATATAAATGTAGCTATTATTGTTATTATTATCAACCTTCATAAAGACAGTTTGATGAATATTAAAGGTGATTCCGTTCAATGTATCCCGCACGATAGTCGTCTTCTTTCCATCTATTCTATCCATTTATCAAAAAAATGAAAACTCTCTTAATCATGTAAATATAAGCTTTGAATAATGTTAGTGTTTCCAGAAACAAGTTTTAGTTAATTATCATATTAAAGATTTTTTATTTTTATTGAATAGAATAAAAGTATAAAATTCATACTTCGTATTGGACACATTGTAACGAATCACACTGAATCATATTTACTAAATAAATACTATAATCTCTCTTTATATTATTAATTATCATAAGAAATATAATATATTCACAAGTTTGCATGTATCTATACTTAGTCTCTCAGAAAGGTGATAGGGAATAAAAAAAAAATTCAGGATCTACATATAAATGGCAGATTAATTGTTTTGAAAATTCCGAGAAGGATATAAGGTATTCTGGCATTGAAAGAAGTTTTGTCATGAAAATATTGAAGAAATGTGTCGAATGTTTGCTTGTTCCTTGCCTTTAATAGTAGATTATACTTATGTAGTACGGAGGGAAGCATTTTGTGTTGTGGATTTGTTAGTTCACTTTGAGGAGGTTTTTCGAATTTGATTAACACTGTGATGTCAATAAACTATGGTAAGCACTCTCTGTATTATAAGATATCACTCTTTTCAATTTGAAAAAGTGGAAAATAAAACGTACAATTTATACAAAAATGACGAAGCACCTTTTAGCATTTGTTTAAATTACATTTTTATTTAAAAGAATACAAATTCGTGATCATCAAAAACTTTAGTCAAATCAATCTTGAATGATTGATTAGAAAATGGAAATACTTATTTTATTACGAGTATTATACGCTGAAAGTTATCGAAATCATTATAAAAAAATATATCATGAGTATCAGATGATTAAACATGGATTACAAAAAAATATAAGACCCCAAATAGGCCTTCGATAAATATGAACATTTCTAATGAAGTTGTTAGAAAAAACTTTAAGAATCGATTATTGTTTTACATTCGAACTCTAATTCTAATATCACCTTTTGATCAGTTTGATTGAAGGTAAAGCTAAATATATATCTTGATATATAATCTACAGTGTAGGCCTGTCACGAGTATAATAATATGGGTTAAATACATGGTAAAGGACGTGAGCTCATTACATGTGAACCTTGCAAAGAGCTTGTGTAAGGTAGGCCTATACTTATGAAATAACTTCACACTCTCTTGTACTTATCACGTGTCCCTCATGCTTCACTGAAACAACCATGGAAAGTCAATTCCTGCTTTCTTGGCCAGTTCTAGAGAAAATGGACGATAATAATCATACAACTTCTTTGATATAGCATCGTTTATTTCGGGGTGAGGGCGCCCTTTTATTTTAGGATTGGCGCACGCGATGTGCGGCCTCTCTCGAACATTCGCACAGTAAAATCCGGTCTCGGGGCTTTTCTGAAAATGTTCACGCTTAAAAAACGGAGAAAGGCCAAGGAACCTTTCCGTTTGTTTCATGATCGGTAGAGGATCTTGGATGAAGGCCTCGCCATCAAGTACAAGCACCCGGTCAGGTCCAAAATTGTTCTTCATCTTTTGATATTTGTCAATGTACCTCCCGTTGGCAATAATAGAAACGTTACCATTGATCTCACCTGTCTCTGGTTTGATTACCATCTCATTAAATGGTGGAAGAAGAGCTTTCGATGATTTTTGTAGTAAAATGCCTCTTTCGTGGACATAATCAGAGATAGCACGTACAACAGGATCACGGATTATTATGATCACTTTGGCGTTTTGATCCAGCAGATTTTTTATGTTGCCGGAAGTAAATCCCATCGGCTTCCCCGTCATAGATAACATTCTTGGACTGGACCACTTCATCCTCAAACGCCACTTGTCAAGGGCATCGGCCGTAAAGTGTGGCCCCGGAGGAGCAAGTACTTCTCCTTCGATAACTACCACAGGGTGGAGGGATAAGTATTTCGTCAGTATCCCCGTACCGCACTTTTTAATCCCTCTTATCATGGCTTTCGGAAGACGCTTCTCGCAGCCATTCATGTTCATGATTTCTGGGGTTCGCTTCGTCATCCCTGCAATTGAGTAAGCGTAGCAGTCTCCGTAAAATACCTCCGGCTCTTTCATTTTTATATCAGACTTGGAGGTGTACTTGTGAATGTCCTTGGCGATATCGTTGATAGCCGGTGCGTCTGTCACGTTTAATACCTTCGACAACGTTTTATTCCGATCGTCTGGCTGCCTAGGTGGCTGTTGATTGTCAGTACAAACTGGGTTGTTTCTCCGATTTAATGCCTCTGATGTAGTTTTCTCCGAGACATTAAGCGTTGGAGAAAACATGTAGTACATCTGTAAAAGTATCAGGATAACAATAGCGCCAAATGTGCGATTCTTCTTTAAAGTGGCTCGCAACATCTTTCCAAATGTTTCTTAGAACTTAGAAAGTGTAAGAAGAGGTCCTCGTGTGTTCATACACCGGTAGCAACCATCAATACCAAATTCTAGATATGAAAAACATGGGAGATAAATAAACATGAAACACGAGATGATGTGGATATTTTATGTAAAGTATAAACGCACACACCCACACACACATACAACGTCTTGTTGTCTCTTATTCTATTTTTTAATATCACAGTTTACTGAATGCCCACGAGATCGACAGCCAGCCCACGAGATCAAAAAAGTATCGGTTATGTAAACTCTAAGGGCTCGTTCGGATTTGACGCATAAACCTCGCCCCCCCCCAAAAAAAAAGCAGCCGCGTTTTTAAAAGATGTAAGTGACTGGTAACTCAGCGGATCGAGCAAATGACTTGTACCTGTTCACTGAGCTCTGTGTTTAGATATGTGAAGCGGTTTACACTTTACGTCATCATTATAAAAAACTCGGCGGTTTTCCCCAAGTCAAATCTGAACGAGGCTTTTAAGAAAAAAGTTGAGAAGGGATTAACAGTCTCATGAACCTTAGGGAGGTCTGCCAAACAGCCTCGTAGAGCGGATTGTAAGCGATGTATATAAATATGCACGCACCAAACATAATTATGAGAGCTATTAATAAAATCAAGAATCAAATCGTGAAACCTGAATACAACAGTCCGTCATTGTTGCAGTTTGAGATGTTTGGGATGTTACTGAGTGTGATTGATGAAAACCTGACTGGATGAATAACGAAAACTTTTAAGCCAATGTTTGGTCGTAACCACATACACATTTTAAAACACACTTTTGTGATATTCTCAACGGTATTTACCTCTGTTTGTCTATACTTTTTTCTGTTCAGTAAAACAAAATTGTGGATATTGAACTTACCCTTTTCGGTCTTCTTCAACTTTATTACAATTTCAGCTTCGTTTAAAATTTCTCCAACATTGCAGGATTATTCCGTAGTTCGTACTGCAGTCCCCTCTTAGATAGAACGTTATATAGCAGGACCTTGCCAGTATCTGAGGTGAATGTACATGTATGATTATGCAGGTTGTACTTCATGGGAATCATGGGAACAACATCTTTTATTCTAGAGAGAGAAAGTGTCTTGCACGTTATCTATCGTGGCATGTATTACGTAAAGTAGATCTGTGCAACCATGGAGATGGTGCAACTATACAGTTTTCTCGCGGCATTGTTAGGCTTCGCCTTCTGGTTGGCAAACATTGGCAATTTAAAAGCGAACAAACAGAAGAAGGACTGCTATTGAACGAAGTACATCGACACTCCTTTAAAATAGGAACATTGTCAATAAACAAGAAAATTAAATGGATGAGGAGCGGAGGTCTCCGCTCAGTTCGCAAGATTTACCGATCTCGACTGCCATAGACTGCTCACGTTGTTTGTTCGTTCGTTTGTTAGTTTTAGTATTTAAAAAAAAGCTTTGATATGCAAAGAAAGATTCCAGTTTGTGACAAGGACAGATTTTCACTATAAAGAAGAGGACGAATAAAACAGAAGCAAACACAGACGGAACCACAATCTAATTGGGGAACATGTTTTAAAATTAAAGAGTAATTCAGACTATCACCAGGAGGGTTACTGTTTCCATTACAAAATTGCGAGTTTTTCAATGATGGAATATGCATTGTCCGTAATTTCCTGAAATCTCGGGGTTTATTTCCCGTTTCTTACGATAGCAATTGTAATATGTACCCCAGCTTCCACTATTTGAATGCACTGTTTATTTTTTGTTTTTCTCCACATCTTGGGGCTCATTGCGATATTATCAAGACTAATGTGGACGTGAGAATAAGGACATTAGAGTTTGTTCCAGCAGACATCTTACGTTGAGAATGTGGAGGTGTCATGGTACACTCTAAATTACAGGGATTTAAATTTAAATCTATAGGATTTATTTTTAAATCTTTCATGTACTGTAGGTAGGGACCAATCGATGTGGATTTAAAATTAATCTTCGCTAGGATTAAAAAGTTTTAATCTGTAAACGATTAAAAAATAAGTTCAAAAGATTTATATTATAAATCTTTCTAGATTAAAATTAACCCTGATAAAGATTTAAAAGCAATCCTTTTTGGGACTTCTTTGTCATGTGACAAAATCTTATCGCCAGGATTGGTCAATTTGCCGTTAATTTTCGGAACTTTTTTTAATCTTTTGGGATTGAAAAAAATATATTTGAAAGTCGGATTAAGAACCAGTTTAGCAATCTTTTAAGATTAAAAATCAATCTTTATGGATTTAATTTCATTCAAATCCGGCTTAAGATTTAAATTTTAAATCCCTGTAATTTAGAGTGTATATAGTGGTTCATTCACTTGATTCTCAATCTAAGGGTTGAGGGTTCGAATCTCATCCCGGCATTAAAGTCTTTTGCAAGACATTAATGCACGCTTTCTCACTCTCCACCCAGGTGTAAATGGGTACCTGTCAATCGATACAGGGCTCTTTTTTTTTTTTTTTTTGCTAGTTAGAAATTGTTCAGTATTCTCACGGCATTGTTGGGTTTCTGGTTGGCAAACAATAGGGTCGTTCACACATAACAATTACTTGTTCGATTTGGATCGCGCTGCAAAGATCGAGAAAGAAAAAAATTCCGACCGTGCGAAGATCAGTTTTTTTTTTGCGACTAAGCATTGAGGAAATAAAAGAAAAATAATTTTTAAAGCGAACACACAGAAGAAGGACTGCTATTGAACGAAGTACATTGGCAATCCTGTATAAAAATAGGAACATTGAAAATAAACAAGAAAATTAAATGGATGAGGACCGTCTTTTGGCAAGACATTAATGTACGTTTTCTCACTCTCCACCCAGGTGTAAATGGGTATCTGGATTATGTCCCCTATATCCCTAGATCCGCCCAAGATATTTTATGTTTTCTCATTTGGAAACACAATTGCTGTGGTTTTCATGAATAGAATCTACTTATCTTCCGTCTATGAAGAAGCAGAAGCCGTGTGAGGCTAAATGAAATAAATCCATTCAGGGATTTAACAAGGGTATATCAGCTATCTACCCAATGAATAAATTAGAGGCAAAGATACAACAAAGTGTCCGGTAAAAGAGTAATGCTTCCATGCCAAAAAGGCTTGTACTAGATTCATATCACGTGTCTACGGTGTTGCCAAATATTTCACTGCGGTTTACAGTAAACATTTATTTTAAGAAACATGAATCGTGTTCACTCCTTTGCAGTGCAATCATCAGTGATCATTCGTGTTCACATTCCAAACCGTTCCTTGACGTGAGAACACATCCATATCCTAATTAGTCATATTATTTGTGTTCCTTGTCGTCTCTTTTTCTTCTTTGCTTTGCCTTGATTTTATTTGAGTTGATTTGATTCATAAAATATATCATTATGACAAAACCTGTCTTGTGACAAGAAAACAAAAATTGTAAATGTGAATAAAATAGACAGTGAGAACAAAGAACATTATGAAGTACTGAATTAATGTATTTATTTGTTTTAATAATGATGATGAGAATGGTTTCCACCTATTTCAAACATATTAAAAAGTGTCTTTTCAACCTCATATTGTGGGAGCATGTTCCATTTGTTTATATATTTCAGGAAGAATACAAAACAGAGCTCAAATCTTTCGAACGAATCGGCCAAGGATTGCCTAAGAACTCAGTGAATAATTGATCAGGGTTGTAATGTAGGTGGCGATGTTTAATCAATTTCCCTCACTCCAACACAGATATACATGTGATATCCTCAAGCCTGATGATACTCCCTTCATGACAGTGTTTGATCTCTACCCTCTAGTCTGATCATCACTGATCATTCGTGTTCACCAAAAAACGAACTATTTAGGGAGATGGTGGTCTTTACACAAGTATAACACTTTTCAATTCATTACCTGATGATATTCGACGAATGGACAAGCTTACTCAAGTCAATCAGCTCTATCGACTTTTGATTCATGGGAAAGGAAAAGTGGGGGAGGGCGGGGTGGGGGGGGGGGGTAGCTGGGTACAAATTGTAAGTCTCATTATATTTTCGACAATTTGAAGAGTGAAATTTGATTTTTGTTGTTGTTGTGAATCTCATTTTTGTTCGCAATATTTGTTTGTACAAATTTCAATTTGTACTAAATACGTTTATCAATGATATTGTGTTAATTTTACTTGTTTGTAAGAATGTGCCCGGACTCGCTGAAAAGCAGTCTGTTTTGACTGATTGTGAATGATTGCCGTGAATAAATACATACAACGCAATACCCTATTACCTTTTCAATCCTTATAAGTGATAGACACAACCATGGATGAAGGGGTGCACAAAGAGATGTCAAGTATTTTTTTTTAAAATAAAATATCAAACATCACTTTTTAGAAATATTATGAAATAATTACGTGTAAGAAAAAGGAAAACTATTTTTGGTTTTATTGGGGGGGGGGCCTATATGCACGCAGTAAGGGTAGCTAAATTCGAGAGCTTAACGAAATATTGTAGAAAGTCCGTTCAAGGCGAGGCCCCCGAAAATGTCCCCCCCCCCCTCCCCCTCCAAAAAAAAAAGCTGGAAGGGTTCCGACGCGTCTGTATGTTTTTGTTCCTTAGATGATTTTTTCCCCTTCTAAATGACTTCACATGTTCAATCCATGACCTCCCTCGATGTAATCAATGAGACGAATTGATAAATCACTTTCCTGTTCATCTTGAACACCATACTACGTTTTGGCCAGTTAAATGAAACGTGACAATAACGTGCCCTGTTCAGGTCACAGGATGGGTAAAACCATTATGTATTATATCCATTTTACTGCTTGATGCATCGTATTGTAAATGCAAGATGTAGACCTTTAAATCTCTATACGTGTGAGTCAAAAAAAGTTTACACCTAGAAAATTGTTAATTATTTTAAAAATTATATATGAACAGCAAGTTATTATACATCTTATGAAAGAGTGTTTTATCCCAAATCATTTGGTACCATTTTTTGTGGTATGTGTTCACGCATGGATGAACAGGAGGCATTGTTTGCGAGAGTGCCAAAATCGACTTGCGCCAAAGTGATGCCTACAGTATGTATTATGTTGGGATTAGCGGAGTGAGAGAATGAAATGAATGTATCAAATGAAATGCATTGCATATGCATTTGCAAAGGGCAAAGTCACACACACCCACACACACGCGCACAAATGTTAATTGATATTTGATATTTGATATGTGTGGCATGATTAATTTTGTTAGGGATGTTATTTGGATCTGCAAAGACCGAATTAATACCCTAATCCCAATTGTTTTATTCAAACATCACATAAGCAACTTTGGCGCAAGTCGATTTTTGCACTCTCGCAAACAATGCCTCCTGTTCATCCATGTGTGAACACATACCACACAAAAATGGTACCAAATGATTTGGGATAAAACACTCTTACATAAGATTTTTAATAATTTACTGTTCATAGATGATTTTTTAAATAATTAGCAATTTTCTAGGTGTAAACTTTTTTTTGACTGACACTGTATATAGTGTAGGAGATTACAATGATATTGTCGTTTAGGTTTAGTTAATGTTTTAGAGCAAAAAAATGTATGAAATGTAATGAGACTATAAGCACTAATAAGGTAAACATTGTTTTCAATATGCGAACTATTGTGAATTGATTGCCATGACACTGATATGTATTATAAGCTAGAATCTGCTTGTATTTCTGTGTAGGGATAAGGGAAGTTGATAGAATACCGCCACCTACGTTTCAAACCTAATTTATTCTCCCTAATTCTTAGCTACTTGTAATCCTTGCCCGATTCGTTCGAAAGGTTTGAGCTCTGCTTTTTTTCTGAAATCCATAAATAAAATGGTACACGATCCCATGAAAGGTATTTGAAAAGCCACATCTTAATCTGTTTAAAATAGCTTGGAGACCATTATCACCATCATTAGTAACACCGTTTCGATAGAGACATACCTCAATAAAAAAAAAATCTCTAATACTACACAGAATTCAATTTCTCTCGGTTTACCTATATTTCACGTATGTGGGGAAGCGAACTAAATTTTGTTTTCACTTTTTTGTGCTGTCACAATACAAGATTTGAACATATATAATTATGTGGGAAGCAAATCACATCGATTCAAAAGGGGGGAGACGCCATGGGAGACGGGTATATAATTATAATCAGGATGTGGATATCTTCTCACGTTGCGGAAAGTTTTTCTATTTATTATAACAGAAAGGGTTGTGAATGTGAGTACGAATGATTGAACTTCAAATGCTTAAACACGATTCATGTTTCTATACAGTAATTGTTCACCGTAAACCGTACTCATATTACATGCATAGCAACGCTTAGACACGTTATATGAAACTCGTACAAGTACTTCGGCATAGAAGCATAGCTCTTTTACTTGACACTTTGGTGTATCTTTGCTCCTAATTTATTCATTGGATGGATAGTAGATCTATCCTTGTTAAATCCCTAAATGGGTCCATTTCATTTCAGTCTCACACGACTGCTGCCTCTCTGAAGATGGCAGATAATGAGTACATCTTATTCCTGAACATAACACCCTAGCGTGTGGTTTGCCGAATGGCAAAACTCGCAGAGTAAATTCAGGATGCCATATAAGATAAAGGCTAAGTTTAGAAATATCTATATCAAGCAACAAAAAACAAACAAATAAAATAAAATGGGGAAACAGGAAGAAGGAATAGGAGAAAAGAAGATTCATTTCTAGTGCCTAAGTTAGAGGTACTACCGGTTGCCGACTTCCGACAATCAAGCTCGGGCCGGCCGGCCATGGGACCAGTATTTTGTATGTGTAACGGAGGTCTTTGTATTAGAGGACAGAACAGAAAAGCAAATTCATGGGGGTTAGGTGGTGGTGGGGGGGGGGGGGGGGCTTATTTTTCTCTCATGTATTTAAAATAAACCAAATGGGGCGACGGAGTTTTTAAAGGAGAATTATAAAACGAACCACATTATTACAAATAAATGGCACATGAGCACATCTATAAAAAAAAAATTGTGTGTACTTAAATAAATACCACATGGATTTTAAAAGAGGGGTGGGGGCCGATTTTAATTATTATTATTTACATTCGCTTGATTAATTCCTCCCTTTGGCTTTCCAAACCCGATAATTTAACTCCATTAAGCTTAGAAAAGGCGTTGATTGTCTATTTATCCATCCCTTAGATAATTATAACTCATGGTTCGAGATCAAATTTTACTCAGAATCATCTGGATGAGCATTGAAAACCGTCAATGTGTATAACAGATTGTGAAATGACTCGATACAATCTCATTGAAAAAAGAATCTAATTATATAATAATCAAAGATGTTATCATCTGATACGTCATGCAAAGTTGCATTGACATTAAAACTCTACAGGGAAAATATTAGCGACCATTGCATAAATCCCTGTGGTCTGATAATTCAAAGGCATGGAAGAAAAGCTAGGAGAACGATTGTGAAAAGTGCGCAGTTAAAGTTGACGCGTCATTGGCGTGCGTTAGCTGGTTATTCTTTCGTATTTGTCACTCAGAGCGAGGCTTATACTCGCGCTTCTTTACGTCATGCTTTTCATGCTATCCGCGAGGGAGACGCCACAGTCATCTACTGGGTTTGTGTGTGAGCGTAGAGTAGACTCCATGCTTGCCGGGTCGTATTAAGTGGTAGAGAGCGGACGATGACAGAGCATTTTTACTTCTCTCAGCGAGGGTGGAAGGTTTTCACATCTACGAAATATCTTTCATATCTCCTTCTCTAAACAGTCAAAGTTGACGTGAGCAGTGACGGAGGCTTTATCAAAGCAGAGATTTAGCATAGTTTTCGTATTTCATGCTCAACTGAGGAAGTTTGGGTTTTCTTGTGGACTTAATGACGCGTTTGCAGTGAAGGAATTATCAATCGGAAATATTAATCCTTTATAATTCCTCTATTCACATGTGGATGTTGAAAGGATCGTGTCAGCTAACTGAGAAAAATATCATCACATGATTGTTGATTTTCCCCTCATCAGACCAACACATCAGGGATAATATTTACCTTCAAAATATATATATATTTATGAAACTTTAATAATTGCGGATACCTCACTCTCACAAAAGAAAGCAACCTCGATGCCCTTTCCCTTCCCGCGGAAGATCAACCGCGAACTCACCAGTTTTCCAAAACATCGACTGCGATCAGTCGATTTCCCAGGAATGTACCTAGCAAAGATTGACTAAATTTGTTAAATGCTGGTAGGCATAAGTCTTCTTTTTGGCATGCGGATATGTGTTCAACGTTGACAACCGGATTCCATGATTTTTTAAGTACTGGAAATCGCGAAATGTGATTTTCCGCAGGAAGGTGGAATTTCAAGTTCGTTTTCGGAGAACAAAAATTGATCTTGCCGTCGTCGATGTCACATCGTAATCACTCAGTAAGCATCTATGTTTCGCAGTGCTCGCAATTTTTTTTATCTCGTTATAATCAAATTAAAAAGTTACACCGTGAATCTCTAGATGAATAAAAACGAGAAGATTAATTTTCTGTTCCAGTACGCAATTGATGACGCCAGCCTCATATATGAATCCTGAAAGGTCATGGAAACGATTTAGAGATTTTTTCACTGACAGAACATCAATATATTGCATCTTTTTAAATCGGAACCGTCGTAATTGTGATAAGAAGGCCTAGCTGTGGATACTCGGTCCCACGTCAGATTATATACAAATCGATGACAGTGACCTAACGTATTGGATATTTGAGATCTGTGTGTAATATTTGAAGACAGTCACTCGAGACCGCGATCGTCTTCTGAACAGGTAGAGTTTTCCATCGGCACTCAATCAAGGTCGGTGGTGCGTAGTGTCCGGTGCGAGCGAGCGGGAAAGCATTGATCCAGATGCTTGCCGTAGTTGCAGCAGCTGCGGAGTACTACTCGGCTCTCGTCAGCTTCATAATGAGTTTTGTCTGCCACGGGGCGGCAACGATACCGACGGAACTCGCCTTCTCGCAGATCGACCCCTCATCCTCGGGCCATCACCTTGGTAGAAACAGCCAGCAGACTTGGTGTAGGCAGGATACTATGCAGAGTGGTCCTAAGGAACCCAACCCAGTCAGCAGCGGTAATGTGCAACGATCGATCATCACCCCTGTCATAGAGCGTGTAACCTTGTGTTGCACGCTCTTGGTAGTGTTCTTTAGATGGTTTTGGAACTGGGGTTCGAGGGAAAAGCCGCAACCATCATTACCTCAGCTAAATTTTCGCCCGTCGTCCCTTCTTAAGTATGTACTCACAACATGCTACAGCTTACGGGAACCCTTTATCCCAACGAGTTGGGCGTCTTTCGGTTACCTTCAAACTCTCCTTGGCCTAATCCTCTCAAATGGCACCATGAGATACCGCAGGGAAGTACTCCAAATGGCGGATGGTGGGATCGTAGCGTTGGATTGGGCTTGGAAGAATTCTTCTGTTTCGAAACGCAAAAGGAGAAAAACATTGTCCAAAGGAGTAGTTCTCATCATACCAGATTTGGTAGCGGGATCAGGGGATGTATCACGTCTTTGCTCAAACGTATACGCCAACGGTTATGAACCAGTGGTCTTCCATAGACGAGGAACCAATGGATTACCTCTCACCACTCCTAAATGCCAAAGCCTTGGGGACCCTTCAGATCTTCGTGATGCAGTGCGATACCTCTTTTCAAGACTTCGTTCCGGAAGACGGATAAGCGCTATTGGTCTGGGTTGCGGAGGAAGTTTACTCCTGTCGTACCTAGGAAATTACGGTTCATCTTCCAGACTGTCTGCATCCGTATGTTTATCACCCATCTATGACCTACAATCAGCCATCCAGACCAATCGGCCCAACTCTCTGCTGAAATGGCTCACCCTTCAATTACTCAAATTGAATTTCACGAACCACGTTACCACAATGCCAAAATTCTTCGACTTAGATTCTGTCTTTTCCTCTAGGACTTTGACACAATGGCTCGAGTGTGTTGATTGTCCTATGTATAAGCTTAAAGACATGGCGGAATACTGGGAACATAACGAACCTTTACGTGAAGCTGATGAAATCGCTGTTCCACTTCTATGCATCAATTCGTTCGACGATCCCGTCACCAAGAAGGAAGACATTCCGTTCGAATTATTCTCTACCCTACCTAATTTGTTATTACTGACGACGGAAAGCGGTGGTCATTGTGGATTCCTTGAAGATTCGTTAAATCCGAAATCTTGGGCACACACGGTTGCATTGGATTATATCGAAGCTGTTTTACAATTTACGGAAAACGTTACAAATGAACGGAATATAAGTGGACGGATGCGTGTTGATTCATAATTAAGAATATTTGTATTGATTTCTTTGAAAATGGAACGGATTTGAAGTTTGCGTCAACATTAGTTTTATTCTTAGAAGAATAGTAAATAAACATACCGTTGAATTTGTTAAAGAGAGCAATCATTAATCACCCTGAAAGTTACATAATAGTATGATATGCTTGTTGTCATCGTTATTGAATCCTGTTATCTTATTTGTACTTTTATTTATTAAAGCTTCATTACAAGATGGAGAATTTATGGCTATCAAACTTTGAGGCCAATTTGAAATATGTGAACACAATTACTTGGGGTTTAGGATTAATACAACGTATTCATAATGTAACTAGTTAATTCATATATAAATTCTTAGAAAACTATTAATTTGCCCCGAATAGATGTTACAGTTGGTGGGAATACCAACAATAAAATTGAAACCGTTCCTAAAATACATCAAACTTGTTGCACTTTTTATCAACGTTAAATGCATACTTTCCATTAGAATTTATGCTCCATAACAAAAGAATGTATAAAAGTGTTATTAGCCCTGCATAAAATGTTTTAATGAACCTAGAGGCGGTGTGCTGTACCATGTATAATGTGATTGATGTAGGCTAACGAACCTTTTTATAAGCTTTTAATCGCTGCTTCTTGCTAATGTATGATGTCCATGCGGCTGGATAGCGTTTAATTACATGTGTGTCGTACGTCATGGCATAGCCTTCTTAATCATGTCAATTGGCTCTTTAATTACGCTCTTACGGTCGAAATGTAATCAACGGTAATATAGAGAAGGTTAGGGTTGAGTTTTGGTGAAGGAAAAATAAGAGCATTTTCAATTAAATATTATGCCTTTTCCACGTGGAAGAATATTTAAGAGGTAATGCCCCGTGAAATGGTTTGCTTTTTAATCTCCCTCATATAATTAGACATGGCTATGGCACCATACGTCTACCGTACATCATTTTGTGTATTACTTCTTTTATGTTCGTGAATTCCAACTAAATTTTTCATTTGATAGGTTCTTTACGATGAAAAATACGTGGGGAATCATTATACATTCCTCTCTTTGGTTTGCTTCACCACAACAAACCAGCCTATCAATTTAACAGCATTCCTTTTTAAATATTATTATTTTCTTTCTTTATCAACATCTACACGGTATTCTTAATCTTTAATGAAAATCCACATAGCAATGTGTCATTTTTAGATTTGATCCGAAATGATCATATCCTATTATCTCAAGAGCCCAATTAAAAAATCCATTATGTCTTTTTTTCTATCCATCAATTCGTTATGATGGAGATGTTTATGATCATCTAACATGGAGGCTAATCAGTAGGAGTGGAAAGTGTTAAGTCATTATCGGCTTCCTAGTGAGGGATATATTACACATTACTGTTCGCTTATTTTCATACAAGACTGTTGTTGCAGTGCTTCAGGGCAATCTCAGAAAGACCACCACGACCACATCCAGCCGAGATACTGATTACCAATTACACATTGGTTTGTAATATAGCTGATGAAATATGTACAAGTGATTCTCTCATTGGATCGCTGTTTCATTATGTAGGTGAGTTCATGGACCGGATTAAGATAACATTGTCTTTGTTAAATAGTCCCCTGAATAGGATTTCATCGTACGGCTGTAAGTCATTTCGTAGAAATTATCTTCACATGGGAAGATTCAGTTCGTTTGAACGAAACTGTTATACCCACTCAAATAGATGTATACGCCTTCATGAAAGATTATGTAATCATTAGTTTTGTCGTGCGTGTGCAATGTATTCCATGGTACACGGGTGCACATATTCTATTTAAAATGGGAAACACAAGCTCTTCATAAAGGACTCCATTACTTTGGATTAAATAAATAAGACCTCTTCTTGTTTTTTTAACCAAAGATCAAAGATGTTTGGTCCGTTGATCAATGTTTTGACCTGTTGATCAATGTTTCATTTTTTAAAATTTTGTACATGGGGTCATTTATACATGTCCTTATTCTTAACCGATGTATTGGTATAATTATGTTAAAACAGAAGTCGCAAATAGAAAGAGAGGTATTTTACAAAAATATTGCAGTTTTAAAAGCGAACTTCATTTATCCGTTGATCTATGAAGGCGGTTATCATATGTCACATTTTTTTCTTAAGCCCCTTTTTTAATCAATAAATGAAGTACCACAAGTGATCTAAAAAAGAAGATGCCAGAAATCAAACCTTTAGCCATGTTAGTGTTACAATTTAGAGAGTGAGCTTGGAACACGCTCTTCACGAGGTACTGCTGCTCCGATTCTTTATTAAATCGCATTAGGCTTGATTAAATTTATCAGTGACAGATTCGGCGTGGGGTTCTGATGTGTGTGTCCTCTCTTTTTTAGGATTATTGAAACGTCTAGAGGACAGGGTTTTGCATGAGCTCATTCTACATGTATCTGCATTCTAAATAGCATAACATCCAAGTATGTAATGGGGGGGGGGGGGCACGAGCCAGGAGTAACCTCTTTGTTATAAAGTCCTTGGTCTGCTCCTAAATTGAGAGAATACTCAGATAATTTAATGTGTTGCAATAGACTTGCATCAAGAACATTTGTGGCCTTATTAACTATGATAAAATGTCATTTGCTGGCGTTTTGGTCGATGTGTCAAAATTGTCGTTCTAAAATGTTCTACGAAGAGCTGCGCCGACAAATAACAATAGAATGACCAGATCATTTTCAGTTTTAAGAAGTATAGAAAGATTTTCAAGAAGGTGACCTCCGAATTAATTGATTTACATGTAAACATTTCTGATTTGCTCATTACCTACTCTTTAACTCACGTTTAATTGTTTTAGATGAACCTGGTAACTACTCAATATTCAGGGTTTTTTTAACGCTTGTTACATTGCACATGTCTTTAAGCGATTTACATAAATATTAACACCCTTGTCATCGGATTTAGGCTTGCCCGTACGCGTCATTTTTTCTGCGGCACAGATTGGGGCTTTAAAAAAAAAAAAAATATGTTTTGATTTAACCCTAACCCTAACCCTAAACTTTCCCATAGGCTCAACACGCACCTAATCCCAATCTGTGCCGCCGAAAAAAATAACGCTGCCCGTACACAGTGTATGCACATTCTTCACTCCCTGGGGAGCATTCCATCCAGGCGCCAATTTACCACTCCTAGCAGAATATGATATACAGTATCGTCATTATATTATAGTGTATGTAACATGTAAACACGTGAATACATCGCTGACATAATTATAAGTGTATTATCGTGATACAGTATCATAGTGGACGTCAGTGAAATATTACGAGAGATGTAGATCGTCAGAACATATTGCCTCGAGCTTATTCCCCCCCCCCCCCTCTTTTGTTCACAATGACGATTAAAGGTAAAGACCAGTATTGGAAACGCCCCAATTTCAAAAAATTAAATGGAAGCTCTCATTACCAATCATGTGAAAGAATATGTTTTGACTAATACATGATGATAACAAATTTGCTGGGAAACCGCCTACTAATTCATATATTTGGTAAATTTGTTTCTCTCATGGTCTGTGAGAGATATAGGGTAGTCCCATATACATCTTTCTCTGTATAGTGCTTGTAACTTTACGAAGAATGAGCCAAATTTCTTATCATTTTGATGATTCCAGAACCTTTCAGATGCTAGATGCTAGATGATCAACCTTTTCTGATCGATTCCACAACGTTTCTTTCACAATGCAATCGCATGACCATAACTGGTCTTTACCTTTAAACATGCTGTGCTCAACTCGTCTCTGTGACTATATGGTTTATAATATAACAGTAAACTGAGATTTCATTGTAATTGTGTTCGTTGGTAAGGTGTAAAGCTCTAAGAATAGCCGCACCTCATGTTGAAATATATATTTACCCATTTTCTTGGTTGCAGTTAATTTTGTAGATCTTTCATAAACATAGTATTATCATCAATTCTTATGATATATGTATTCATAATAAATCTTCCCATATGTAGAATTCTTCAATGTATTATTGAAGAAAAGAGGATTTTATGACATGTAAAGAAAAGAAATGTTACCGGGCAATGTTTTGTCAAGAATCTGAAGTGTTTGGCAATTGATTGTTATGATTTTAATGAAATGCAGTTTATTTGATTCATATAATAATGGTTTAATACGATTCGTGAGTATCAGCCAGTGGTTGAATTGTTTACAATTAACAAACACATGCGAAAAGTTCAGAGTATTATCTGTATTTTGTTTGGCTTGACTGATGGCATTATGACTGAGTGATAGCCAAATCAATTTACAGTGCGTCCCAGGAAAAAACGAAACCGAGAATTATTGATGTTTTATCAAAACTTAGTCACATCTATAATTAATAAATGACACATAAATTGGAATACACATATAATACATATTTCAGAATGCAGAATTGACAAAAGACTTAAAGATAAACTTGGGTTCTGGTCATTCGATTGCATTGTGAAAGAAAAGGTGTGGAATGGATCAGAAAAGTTGATCATATAGCATGTAAGTAATGGTGTGTAATGCAAGGTTCTGGAGTCATCAAAATCATCATAAATTTGGCAGAGTCTTGGTAAAGTAACAATCACTTACGCAGAAAGATGTATATGGGGCAACACAAATGGTGTCGGGGCTAGTACTACCCTGATTTCCTTATCTTTCTATGCTCATTACTCAGCCAGTATACATTTTCTTCCAAAATTGTTTGGCACATGACATTTATTTGTAATCTTGAACATTCAGTGTAAGTTTTGTTAGATTCTGTGAGAATTCATTTTCTTTTTTTTTACCAGTACTAAAGTTTATCTTTAACTCCGTTTCGTTGACAATCAGCCATGCATGAAGTCTGTCGTCTACGGCTAATTGTTAACAAAACGGAGTTAAGTCTTTTGTTAATCCTGTTTGTTGCTACGGCAGGCAGCCAGTGAAAACGAATTCGTTTGATAAAATTATGGAAATGCAAGCAATACTTTAAACAAACAGAACTTTGTTATTCCTAGCTCATTTTTCCTGACTGAGGTGTCATATTAAAGGGCAGAAACTCAACCTTCTAGAAATGTGATTTCCTCTTTGAAATTCAGATACCGTCCGCCAAATTACTTTTTGGTTTCCTCTCTTCAATTTCATTTGAATCACTCATGCGTGAAATATGCATTATATGAGTTGCATCAAATTAAAGAGGAGGATCTAAGCTTTCCAAATATGTGTCATTTATCAATTATAATTGTGATTAAGTTATGATAAAACATCGATAATTCTCGGTTTCGTTTTGTTTTGGGATGCACTGTATAAAGAGAGTATGGCCAACTTGGTTTCACTTGGTCACAAAACGGCGTCACAGGCAAGCTGGCAAAATAAACTGAAACTAAAATCAGTTGTACACCCGTTTTGTGTTGCCAGATTCAATTGAAAGGGTGTGTTGAAATATTTATTTTAAAAATTGTAGTCTTGGTAATTGGTGATCGTATGTGAAAGAAACAAGGTATGGTTTTGATGATGAAAATTGCAGTACCCATGTTAAATGTTTATGATTCCATATGAAAAAGTAATTTTATAATATTTGATGTCAACTTTTTTTTTCTTCCCTGTAATAAATTATTTTGATACCTGCATCCACTGATTGAATATAATACAAATATCATGCACAATAAATCGTTTGTGATTGTGTTTTGTGTCCTAGATCCCGTTCTTGTTATTGACCTGAAAACATAACAATGACTCCTTTCAGGGGAAAAGTTGGACCCCACCCGACACATTCCAAATTCCCTCAAAAGATAATTCATGCAATGTGTCCAGCCGTTCAGACAGTTATCAAAATATGTTCCGCATAATTTCTGCATCAAGATCCATCTGGTCGTATAAGCACGCTCCGGGGCACTGGCGTAATGGTGACATAAGAGGGCTTGGATAACACATTACATTTCATTTCATTTATTGTGTCCATTAAGCATAATTGTTCATAATAAGGAAGCTGTGAATTTGTAAAAAGTATGAAAAACTATGAAACTTAGAAAATCACTTC